GAGTCAAAACCAACTTCATTGAAATTAGGAGACATATTACTTTGAAGCAAAGAACTACATAGATCAGTTTTGGTATTTTGTGGACATTCCTTTTGAGCGTCTACGATTTCAAAGCTTTCTTTAAATAATTTATGAGCTTGATTACAATCAACAGAAGAAACTTTAAAATAATCATTTTGAATGACTTTATCATTATGAATGACTTCATCATTATGAATGACTTCATCGTTATGAATGACTTCATCATTATGAATGACTTCATCATTATGAATGACTTCATCATTATGAATGACTTCATCATGAATGACTTCGTCATCATGAATGACTTCGTCATCATGAATGACTTCCTCATCATGAATGACTTTGTCATCATGAACGACTTTGTCATCATGAATGACTTCGTCATCATGAATGACTTCATCATCATGAATGACTTCATCATTTTTAACTGCATTATGACAGTTACAGCAGCGTTGGTCATTAATAGTTAAATTTTTAAAAGAAAAATCATTTTTTTCTACTTCCTCTGACAAACTGTGACATGTATTAATGTGATGAAAAGAATCTTCAAGCATTTCACTTTTTAGATCTGCTTTAACAAAATTGTTAGCTAGTAAATCAGATTTGAAACTGTTGACATTGTTCTCTGTGTTCTTGCTATCACTATGACGACCAAGACACACAGATTTTCCCATATCATCGTTGCAACTTTGAACAACAAGCTCAGCAGTTTTTTCTTTATTTTCAGCACAGCTATCTGCTAAAAGTTCAATACAATTTACTGTATTAGAACAACTGCTACTTGCAAAACTATTGATAAAGGTTTTTTTATCATTAAAACTGTTTCCTATGTGGTCATTGGTTCCTGCAACATTATTACTACAACTATCAAGTGTGGTTTCCATAAAATTGTTACTAAAAATGTCTTCTGTATGATGAGTTTTCAATAACTTATTAGTAAAAGAGTCATGCTCAACAGTTTGCATAATATTATCACATCTATGGTCTGCAGATTTTACATTATTATCATGGCAATTATTATTTTCATACTTGGCATTTTCTAAAATACTATTGTTACAACTGTCACCAGTATGTTCCAGAGTTTGTAATGTATGTGATGCATGGGTACAAATTTTTACATTAAAATTTTCTCTATTGGTAGGATCTTGATTGGTAGGGTTGGTAGGATAGGTACAACTTGTGTATGAAAGTTCTGAACTTTTCATAGTATTTATGCAACTATTACAAGTAATTTCTGTAGTTTCTGTTGCAATAGGGTTATCTATAATTTTTGTAGTTTCTGTTGCATTATGATTATCTATAATTTTTGTAGTTTCTTTTGCATTATGGTTATCAAAATGTTCTGTGATTTCTGTTGCATTATGGTTATCTGTAAGTACTGTAGTTTCTGTTGCAATATGATTATCTGTAATTTCTGTAGTTTTTGCACTCTCAACATCATTTATCAAAAGTGATCCTGTTTCGTTACTCAACTCTTGTAATTCTATGTTTGTATAATCTGAAGTATTTTCTAAAAATAATAAACTTACATTAATAATTTACTGTAATAAAATAAAGCAATTTAAAATGAAAATAATAATAACCACAACAATAAAAGTAAAAATGAAAATAATAACAATATTAGTTACAAATTTATTAAATATAAAAATTGAATCCTTATTAAATTATAAAATGCATTTGCTTTTAATTTAATTGCTACTGGTTAAATTTTTTTTCAATTGAAATTATTTGTATAAAGAAAAAAAAAAAGATAAAAAAAAAGAAAAAAATGGAAAAAACTTGAAACTATTGAATATTACAAAATATTTAGATATTGCCAGCATCTAAAGTGACACAATGTTTTTTTCTTAAAGATATTGCCGACATCTAAAGTGACACAATGTTTTTTCTTAAAAATATTGCCAACATTTAAAGTGACACAATGTTTTTTTCTTAAAGATATTGCCAACATCTAAAGTGACACAATATTTTCTTTAAATCAAAGTACTGTGTTACTGAGTCACTAAACAATATGGTTTAAAACAAAATGTTTCTTGTGGCACTCAACAATATGTATTAAAGTTTTTTCAAAATAAAGACTTGTAGTGCCACAATAACTCTTCTTGAACAATGAATAATAACTTAAACTGTTTCTTTAAATAACAGATATTGAACAATAATTGGATTATATCAAACCATTTTTAAGATAAAACATTGTCTAATCAAATAAGGTTTCATTATAAAGATATTTTAGGAGGATTTTCAACAATATACAGAATAAAGTATTATTTCATGCAAGATAGTTAAATCTACAAAAACTTCAACCTATTAAATATACAAAAAAATATTTAAAATTCGAAATAATTTTCAGATGTACCAGAATAAAACTATTACATCAAAGGAAAAACAGAAAACCAAAAGTAAAGGGAAAAACAGTTAACCAAAAGTAAAGTTGATTGAAAATACAGTAGATTAAAAATTCAGTCAATTGAAAATAAAATAAGTTCAAGTATAGACCATCAATTTTATATAGTGTATTTCAACTTTTTTATAACTGGTAGGGTAGATTTGGGTAACATGAGTACTTTTAGCGAAAATATTTTCCAAAATAATTATGCTGGAACCAAAATTTTTGAGAATAAACAATTTTTAGGAATCATTACTCATAAATCACTTAGATATTTTGGCACACAAAACTTTTTCTTAAAAACAGGTTTGAAAAAAGGTTTGAAAAAAATAGCAAAAAAAAAGGTTTGAAAAAAATAGCAAAAGTGCTCATATTACCCAGACCCCTTTGTAATATGAGCACTTCAAATTAGCTTTAAAAAGTACTGAGAATTAAAATGAAAAAAAAACTGAGAATTAAAATTAATTAGTTAATTAAAACAATTAGAACAATAATGATAAGTTATTAACAAAATTTATCATTAAAAGATCAAATTTTTAGCCACTTTTTTATTGAAACAATTTGTTTTCCGCAGGAATACAAAATTGTTTCAATAAAAAAGTCTGTAATTTTTTCAGTTTTACTAACTGAAACCTTTGAACAATAAAAATTCTAATTTTTTGAATTTAAATTACAGAAAAATATTTAGTATTGTTAAAATATTAAAATTTTTTACTATGTTTTATTTTTGTTCAAAAATCAATTAAAAGATTTTAGACTGAGGTTTTAGGACTTTAAAGTAGGTAATTTCAATATAAAACTTCGGATAATTTTAGCATGCTCATATTACACAAAAATCGTATCTTTAAATTGAGTCAAAAACTAAATGTTTCTATGAATTGTTTTTCAACAAAAAATGAAACGGATTTCTAGCTAAAAAATTTTTTTTTAAGAAAAAATAAATTTCATTATTTCGGCACTATAATTTTGCGCCACAGATTTTGCGTGATGATATTATTTTAACAACACAAAAAATTTAATAGCGCTTTAATTAGATGATAGCCGCTAATTACTGCATATAAAATTATGCTAAACATACTGATTCCTGTTATTAACATTAAGTTGATTCAAAAAATATAAAGCAACTTTAACTTTAGTGCTTACATATAAGAAATCTTTAAGTATGCTCATATTACCAAGGTGCTCATATTACCCTAATCTACCCTATATATCTTTTTAAACCATTAAAAGTTTGGAAATGAAGTAAACCTTTAATTATCTACTAAAATGTTTTCTAGAAAAGTAATGTAATTTAAAAAAAAATAATTTTTAATGATTTTAATTTTATCCTAACAAAATCATGTTGAAATTTTTAAAAATGAATATTTACTTAGTAGCACAAAGAAATTTATTTTGAAATTTTTCTTTTTTAATTTATTTGATTGTCAATAAGCCAATGAAAAAAATTAAAAAAAAAAAATTAAAAATAATAAAAAATATATTTTTTAAATTAAAATCATTTTAATTTAAAAAATCAAAATAATTGATTTGAGAATGTAAAAAAAATCAATAGATTATTTTTATTGCGCTACAAAAATATTTTTATGTTTACTGAAAAATAGATAACCAAGCATTATAAATATGTGATTGAAGTTATAATTAATATATACCATGTTTTATTATAAATAAAAATTGATATATCTTCAAGACTTATGAAACTAGAATTTCTTTAAGTGTTTAAATTTTTTTTTAAACTAGAATTTCTTTAAGATAAATGGCTCTTTTAAGATAAATGGCTTAAGACCATGCAGGATTCTCGCTTAGTCTCTTGGGACCAGCATGCCGCTGATAAAACAAAACATCGTTTATTCATCAACACAGCCTTAACACAGCAGTACAGTCTTAACACAGCAGCACAGCCTTGATACAGCAACACAGCAGTGAACAATAGTCTTTTAAAAAATCTCTTCATATTTGTACTTCTTTACACTCATATCTTCTTATATCTCAACCAATCATATCTTCTTATACCACAATCAATCATATCTTCTTATTTCTCAACCAATCATATCTCCTTATATCTCAACCAATCATATTTTCTTATATCTCAACTAATAACTTTGCATACTCATCTTCATAAATGATATCATAAAACTTAGTATAAAACTGATCATAGTTTTCTTATAAAACTCATAAATTATTTTATCATCATCACCATCATCACCATCATCTCATCATATACCATCATCATCATCATCATCTCATCATATACCATCATCACCATCATCTCATTATATACCATCATCACCATCATCTCATCATATACCATCATCACCATCATCTCATCACCATCATCTCATCACCATCATCTCATCACCATCATCTCATCATCATCATCTCATCATAATCATCTCATCATAAATCAAAAAGATAACTTGAAAAAAAAAGATAATGGAATTGGTAAAAAAAAAAAAATGTTAAAATCCAAAATATATTACAATGCAGTTGATTTAATTTTGAAAAACTTGATTATCCAAAAAAAAGTTTTAACTTTTAACTATTTAATAATTTTTCTTTATTTGATTAACAATTTTAAGAGAATAGAAAATACCTGAATCTTCAGTTTTTTTTGGCTTTAACTCTTTGTTTTCATCACTAGCATTGCTCTCTGACTTGCTTTGAGAGCGTTTTTTATTTCGTGTATTCTATAAAACATTTTTTTAATTTTATTTTAAACCATTTTGTTAAATAATTAAGAAAAGATAAAAACATTTTTTTATTTTTTAAAAAAATGATTTTTTTTATTGCAAACCAAAAAACCTAGAAACATTCTTGAACTAGTTATTCAATAAATGAAAAAGTCAAAAAATAAAATTAGCTTTATTAACTTTTTTTTTAATTATATTATTAGCAATTTATTATGCTAATTTATTTTTTAGATATTATATTATTTTGCATAAAAATAGCAGTCAGGATATAATAATAAAAAGTAATAAATAATAAAAGCAATTATGTATACAATAAACTTTAAAAAAATTATTGAAGTCTACACAGCTGTTAGAAAACTAACAAGAATATGGTGCAGGTGACAGAGTGTTTTGAAAAAAAAACAATGGGATTTAATAAAAACCAAATTTTTGGATGGACAAATAATTAGTCAATAATCTAGAAAGTTTCATAAATGGCCTAAGACACTAGACACCCTTTAGATAAGAGTTCTGCCAAAAAACTCTAATAAAGTTGCTAATTTAACAAAGATATATTCATTTTTTTAAAGAGTTTACCCTAGCAAAATCAGACCTTGCTTACCCAAACCAAACCCAATCTTGGCACAAATTGAAACTACTACATGGTTCAAAATATGTTTCCAAACTCAATGTCAAAAACGTTATATACAAAGAATATTGTTTTATACAAGTGTTGATATGGAAAAACTTAAATAGCAAAATAAAAATGTCTCTCACCTGAGATTGTAATTATTTTCTCTCACATAAAATTATTGTTTATTTTCAACACATACTCAATACACACACTCTATTACTCCTCATACAAAATATTTTAAATTTACTTATCCCTTGCATTATTTACATGCATTAAAACCCTTATCATTCCCTTGCATCAAATAATGTATATTTTCAAATATACATTATTTGATGCAAATATGCAAGGAAATACAAATAGAATGTCAAATAGAATTCTTCAATATTAAACATTAATCATAAATGAGAATCTTCATACAAAGTAGAAAATCAATCTTATTTATGAACATTTAAAGTTACTAGAATTAATCATAAAACTTTGCATAAAAAACAACTTAATCTAAACAAAAAGTATTAAAAACAAAACAATGATAACAAAATTATAAAAACCTTTCTTGTGGCTTTAGCTTTCATTTTTTGTTGGTGTTTACTTAAGGGTTTATCATCTTTTGCAGTTTCATTAGGCTTTTTTTTGTCTTTTTTGGGAACCTGTAATATTTATAATTATTATATGTAAATTAAATATATATATATATATATATATATATATATATATATATACATATATATATATATATATATATATATATATATATATATATATATATATATACATATATATATATATATATATATATATATATATATATATATATATATATATATATATATATATATATATATATGAGATTTTGTTCAAAATTTAAAAATACATAATAATCATTCTCAATATTAAATTTATAATACTATTATAAACCTACATCAAACTCTGTTGAAACAGGCAGTGACAGGTCAAGGAAATCTTCAAAAACCTTGGACTTCTATTGAAAAAAAGCAATAACACAATATAAAAACATGCATACAAAGAAAAATGAATCTTAATTATAATCCAATTAAAATGCTACCACACTTTTAATCTTTACATAAAAATTAAATAAAGTTAATATTTATTTTTGTGTAACTTTATATAAATACTTTATATATAAAGTATTCATATATACAGTATATATGCATGTGTATATATATATATATATATATATATATATATATACACATGCATATATATATATATATAATTTTTTAAAATTCTTCTTTATATATATATATATATATATATATATATATATATATATATATATATATATATATATATATATATATATATATATATATATATATATATATATATATATATATATATATATATATATATATATATATATATATATATATATATAAAGAAGAATTTTAAAAAATTTATTGCTGCCCCAACAAAAAAGTGCAGTTGATGTACATGGAATTCAATGTACAGCAATGGAGAGGGAGGCCAAAGATCATGTCTTCAGATTTTTCAAAGTAATGTTGATCTTTTTGCTGAGAAGAAAATTTGATATTATTATAAAGATAACACCTATTTTTAAATAAATACACAAAAACATATTTTACTTTTCAAACAATAAAGTTTTCATACCAACTTATTTAAAAACAAAAAACTATCAATTCAGTGACACAACATTCTAGACTCATGACTAGATTTAATTTCAGCACTGCAATTCGCATCAATCACTCTTTCTTTACTTTAAATATTTTTCAAACACAACAATTGCAGCCATAATGCTTTTGTTTTTAAAATGAGAAATGGCATTGTTGTTGAACTTGTGTACTTCTTTGACTCAATTAGGAATAAAGTAAAGTATTTTGTTGAAGTACAGTATAACTGAAGACTTTGTATGATCAGTTGAATCAAATACTATAGTAAATGTTTTTAACTTATTGTTCTAGACTACAAGGGTCATGAAATTTGGTCTTGATCAAAATGAGCCAGTTATGGTTCATTTTGATAAAAAACACACAGAAAAAAAAAAAGAAATATATATATATATATATATATATATATATATATATATATATATATATATATATATATATATATATATATATATATATATATATAGAAACACACACAGAAAATATATATATATATATTGCATAATAATTATTTAGACATAAAAATAAATTTTTTAAAATATTACAAATTTAATAACCACAAACAATTAGTCATGGTAGCAATTAAAAGAAGACTAAATGTATGCAAGATGTTAGTGTTAACCTCTTTACACTGTTGGCAGCATATCATCGATACAAAAACACCACCAAATAACTCATCTATATGGGTTTTGGCAGATTTTAAGTAAACTAAAATATAAAAAAATAATATTTAAATATTCAAAAATATAAAAAAATAATATTTAAATATTCAAGAAATATTGAACAGTTATCTTTGAACCCGAAAAAAAATTAACCATGATGCCTTACGCTTTATTGTTTCGTTGATATTACAAGTATTTGATGAAGGTGACAAGGCTTCTTTTAAACTTGTTTCTAGTCTCTAAACAACCATTAATATTAAAAAATGTTTAATGCAGTGTAAAAAGTCACAAAACTCATAACAAATTCATCAGATGAAAAGCAAATAACATCAGGTCAAAGCAAAAGATATTACCATGCATCAACAAACACTATACAATAAAGATCATCCAAACTTAAAATATAAAATCACAAAGCATACTAGACGATGATACAAAAAATGACTGACATAACACTGGCACTAAATGACTAAAATGATAATTAAAAAAAATGTAAGCATAATATATACTTTTATTTCTTCAGTACGAATGGAATCTAAAAGATATCTAAGTAGTTCATGACTATCATGTTGCTGGTAACCACGAAACTGAGGAGCTCTAAAAAGAAAAAAGTAAGTTAGAATCCTACATAAAAAAATATAATATGTAAATTTATACATATGTAAATTTTTATATCAGGCTTTGACAGGAATAGGTGCAATCACTCACTGTAACTGACAACGTGTATAGATTTTTTTCTTTATAATTTGACCACGGTTGTTTTGATGTTTTAACAATTTAAAAGCAATTTTAAAAATTGTTACATTATGAATAACTTTTAATTGTTAGTCTTTTCTAAAGTTTTTATTTTACGTGAAGGCTTTAAATTAAACAAACAATTAATTATAATGGCTGTTTAAAATAAACGCATTTTGTGTTAACAATAAATGATATATATGCATTTTTTAATGTATGCATGTATTTTTCATGATAAATTTAAGCATTTGAAAACAATTTCTATGTCGTTCTAAAAATTTTATAAAAAATTTTTTTTTAAAGATTGTATTTTTTATCATACAATTTTTTGAAATCTTTTAAACAAATATTTAATTTTTAAAAAGATTTCTTTTTTTTACTTTCAATTACGATGTGAATAAGTTTAAATCTTTTATGCTAATTTTTAAATTAGTTACACAAAACTCTTATAAGTAAAGTTGCTAATTGCTTGTAATGCTAAATTAAAACTAAATTAAATTAAAATTAAATTAAATTCCTTATTGTTTATTTATTTTATTTTAAATCTCAGGCGCATTTTATTTAAACTATCAAAGAATACCATATTTTTTTTAGTAATATAATTTTTTATGATGATTTTATGAATTAAAAAGATTTTAATCTACAAGAGCATCTTGAAAAGGAACTATTCATTCTAACGCTATTTCTTGGGTTCAGTAGTAATTTGTTACTTAATGTAAAAGTGTCTTGCATAACTTCAATATAACGCTTCAAAAGATAAGTTTTAAAGTAATTTATTTCAAACACAATTAAAAACGTAACAAAAAGTAACTTTTGCTTATATTTTGCAAATACTTGCTAATTTTTGAGTTAATATTTGCTAATTTTTGAGTTTGAGTTTTTGAGTTTTATTTTAGTTAATTTTTTTCCTAGTTTAAATTTAGCTTTTTTTTTTTTTTTTTCAGCGCATTTCTGAAATGTTTTAACCATCAAAACAATTAAACAATCGTGATGTGATTTGTGATGATCAATTTTATCTGTAAAAATCCTTGTTCGCATTCACTTGAAGAGATAAGGATATGCAGAACCAGTACTAAATAAATTAAATTTTCAGGAAATTTTTTTTCTACAAGGTATGGAATCCACAAATCATTTCTCTTTCATTTTAACTGTAGTCTTATTGACAGCATTTTTATTTCAGTTTCTCCAAATGTTTTTGGAATAATTCTGTGCAGAAATTAAAGCAAATTTGTAATAGAAATCGATATTTTGTTTTTATTTTTTAAATACTTGTACAAGTGTTTTTTTATTATTTTTTATTTGGCTTGTACAAATTAATGTTGCACTCTTGGAATTCTAAACTCAATTCTGAGAATTCTTAATATATAATATATAAATTTATATATAAAACATAAAAAACCAAAACTGAAAACTCTATCTTAAAAAAAATCTTACTTCTTGGAAACCTCAGAAAGTAACTTAGATGGGTTAATAATTTTCGATGAACTTGTATTCATTTCATTAAGCAAATTATGTAATGATGATGTAAGTGAACCAGGACATTCCTTTATTTCAACATCTATAGGCTAAAGAACAAATATTAAAAAAAAATTGTATTCTATCATGTGCATTCATATATATATATATATATATATATATATATATATATATATATATATATATATATATATATATATATATATATATATATATATATATATATATATATATATATATATATATATATATATATATACATATATATATATATACATATATATATATATATATATATATATATATATATATATATATATATATATATATATATATATATATATATATATATGTATATGTATATATTTATATATTTATATATATATATATATATATATATATATATATATATATATATATATATATATATATATATATATATATATATATATATATGTATATATATAAATAAATTAGTAGAAATTTTCTACTAATTTGTTATTGCTCTGTTCTTTTAAGAACAGTGAGCACTCTTTTTGTAGAATACACTTTAAATTGTTTAAATATATATATATATTTATATTTATATATATATATATATATATATATATATATATATATATATATATATATATATATATATACATATATATATATATATATATATATATACATATATATATATATATATATATATATATATATATATATATATATATATATATATATATATATATATATATATATATATATATATATATATAATATGTATTTTTTATATACATACAAACATTTTTGATATCATAAAATTATCTTTACTTTTTTTAACTACAGCAATAAAATAAAATAAAGCAAAACAACTTTATTTCATAAATTACAAAATACAAATTTAGAAGTGTTATTTTCCAAATGTACATATTGTGGAATGTCTATTTTGTTTTAATATTTTTGTTTTGTTTTTTAATATAAAATAATTTAATTTAATATTATATTTTTTATTATCGTTTAACATAAAATAATTTCTTTCTTTTCTCAACATTTGCATAAATGAATTTAAATATCTTATTTTTTTTATTAATTATTTCTTAAAATTGCAACTTGATTTATTAGTTATTTAAATTTTTAAAAAATCTAATTTTTTTGCTATTTAAATAACTTTTTTTATAAAAAATTTTTTCTATATGATAAGGACATTCCTGTTTTCACTTTTTTGATAGCGCACATCTGTTTTTATTATATAAAGCTGATGTATCTTAAAAAATATTACTTTTCTAAACTATTTTTTTTTTTTTTTTTAAATAAAACCTTTAAATATAAACAAAGACATTGCAAAAGTTATATTGCTTCAGTAAATTCAAGCAAAAAAATTAAAAATAGAGTTATATCTATAAAAAATTTTTTTTACGTAACCGTTAATCAAACTTTATGAGTTGTTTTTGTAACTACTCATTTTATCTTACTGCTTAAACAATATAATTAGACTTGTTTAAATATTAAAAATGATAAAAAATGGCTTACCACTAATGTTAAATAGATTAGTGCGTATGTAAATGGCGCGCTAGTTTACGCTTTAAAACAAGGCCTGAGATATATATGCAATTGTATCCTATAATGTGCATATATAGACATATGTGTGTACACATGTCTATAAAGGTAAAAGACATATGTGTGTAGACATTTGTCTTTTACTTTCCCACTATTTTATCTATATACCTTTTAAAACAAAACAAAAAATTTCAATATTAAAAAGGAAATATTTTCTATAATTTTTATTATTTTTCATTTTAATATTTAGCAAATAAACATCAGTTTGAAACCAAAAATAAGACCTTAGTTTCCACTTTTAGAGTAATAAACTTTTTGCTAATTGAAGATTCCATTTTTTGGTAGAGCTTATCCAGACGTGCTATGTTCTGAAAAAATAAAAAAATTCTTATTTTTAAATCTAAATTATGATCATAATTTTTATCAAATGTTTTTCAAAGATTGCAATCGAAGATGTTAAAGATTGCAATCGAAGATGTTAAGAAAAAACATACTTGTAAAACAGAGTTAAAAAAACATGTGTTGCCAAGATTCTTTAATCCCTATGAAAGATCATAACTTTAAATTTTTTGCAGATCCACTGTGTCTACATTATCAATGTCAATAATTAAAAATAATTGCCAACATTGTCAAAATTAATAACAACCAATATGAGGTAATTTTAAACTTTTAAAAAAACTAAAAAAGTTAAATAAATTATTGTTTTAATTTAAAAAATTTTCAACATTTAAAAATTAAAATATAAGTGAGCACACCTTAACACTTCCTTCAACCTTTAGAACAGATTGAACATTTTTTATATGAAGATTTACATCTATGTCACTTTTTGGGTTTTTTTCTGTAAAACAATAAATATTCAAAAAAATTTACAAAAATATATATTTCATAATTGAACCCGTCATTTCGAAAAGGGCACAAGTCACACTTTTTTCAAATTTCACTTTTTAATGCAATTTTATTTATTCAAGTGTTGTACATATTCCATTTGAAGGAGAAACATTTCCATATGCCACAAGTCAACTTTAAATGCAAATGAAAACTAAAGTCTGTTTGAAAATGGCACAAGTCCCGGACTTATGTCTTTTTCAAACAAACTTTATGCGATTTTGGAAAATCGCGAACTTGCTGAAAACGCATATAGATCTAGAAAATGAGTGTCTGGTATAAGAAACAGTGGAAATTATAAACACGAAAAAATAAAAAAAACCAAAATTGCTGGAGAAGCTTATAAAAACCACAAAGGAAATGATGTGGCACCAAGTCAAACGGGTGCTTCTTGCAACTTAGTTTTTTGTTCTTTAGAGTACGACTATATTCGTTCTCAAATTTATGCTTATTTACTCAAGTTTTACCACCAATAATTGGAGGTAAAACATCTTGATATATAATTATTATAATATTACCTCAATAATTCTATTTATCTACAGATGTAATTCAAAGTGTATGGAGCTTGTATCTGAACATTTTATAGAAAGTACAATTCAGTTTGTTAACAAATTTGATTGTAAAAATGCCCAAGACACATACTTGCAGTCATTGATTGAAAAGAAGGAAATAGAGAGAAGATGGTTTAGATCTAAAGAACCTAAGAAAAAATAATTTTCTTTTATTTATCACATTAAGATTGAAGGTGTGATGAGAAAAGTACGCAAGAAAGCTTTTTGCTGTATGCGTGGAATTTCTATGAAACAAGTTAGACGTTTATGCGTTTTATTAAAAAAAAAGAGCAGCCTTTAGATTACAGAGGTAAATCTCAGTGAATACGATGCAACGCATTACCTGGAGATACATTAACAAAAGTACGTGAGCATATCCAAACGAAGTATGTACCTTTGTGCTGAATTATATATTAAAAAATATTGGCAACGAAGCCAAAGAACTGCACCTATTTTTTGATGGTTGTGCAGGCCAAACAGAAATCATGCCATGGTCCGAATACTTTTATCACTGGTAGCTGAACTAGATAGCAATATAAATGAGATACAATATTACATACCAAAAAGAGGTCACTCATTCTTGCCAAACAATAGAACGTTTGGAACAGCAAAGCGACATTTGAAAAAATGATCGGGTTTACACACCAACAGAGTATGAAAATTTTGTAGCTGAAGCAAGAGAAAAATTTGAAATTAGAACGCCCAAAACTAAAGATATTATTGATGTAAAAAAATGGTAGCCAAACCATTATAAGAAACTTGTGCTATCTGTGGATTCCTATGGAAAAGGAGTACCCAAGGACAAAAAACTTACTTTTGGTATTTCTAAAATCTCACATTTCACATTCTCTAATACCACACCAGGTTTAGTGAAAACACATGAATCAATAGATTGCTTAGTCAGTTATAATTTCCAGCTATTACAAAGGATGGGTATTCGGTCAACCTTACCCTTAAGTAGTTGAAAAAATATATTCTATATTCAATAGAAGAGTACCAAAACTTCTATACAAAGGTTTTTGCTTCGCCAACAACTTCGGCAAACAATGAATTCCAAGAAATAAGTGATGATTACCTAACAATAATTGTTTTTATGTAATAATAAATCATTGTTATTCTGATAATCTTTGGTTTTTTATATACAAAAAAGCGTTCATTCCGAAAAAGACTTAAGTCCATAAATTTAAATTAGATATATATGTGTTATATATTATTTTTTTATAACAAATAAAACTCTAAAAACTTATGTATGACTTTTATTTATCTACTCTTATCTTTAGTTTCTTTAGCACCATAAACTTATTTTTGTTGATCCTGAAAAGTTTAAATAAATGAACTTGTGCCCTTTTCGAAATGACGGGTTCAATTATTAAAAGTACATACTTTAACGTAAGTTGATAAAAATTGTTAATAATAAAATATAATATATATATATATATATATATATATATATATATATATATATATATATATATATATATATATATATATATATATATATATATATATCACATAATAAAACCTTACAACAAGTATTTAAACCTGTTACAATTTTTCTTTTCAAGAAGTTGATTGTTTTTTCAAGAGTAGCATAATTTTCAGTAAATGGCACTGATGTATTGCAATCAAAACACCTGCAATAAATATACAAACAAGCTAACTAAAAAGTAGTAAATATTACATAAACAATCTAATATTTTCATATTTATATCATTATTAGTTATTTATATTATTAATATCATATTTATTTTAAGTATTCATAAATATTTAAACAGATTAGACTCAAAATTATGCAGTACTATACTCATAAACATCTTGTTAAAAATATATAACAATAGTAAAACACTTGAATAAAAATTTTTTTCTGATAAATTGAAAAAACATTTTTTTTTATTAGTGCTGAAAATCTTATAATAAAAAGCTCATATATATAAAAAAAAAAAGAAATAGAAAAACAAATATAAAATTGTATAAATTTATTTGTAATTAAATTTGTAGATAAATTATTAATTACAAATAAATTTTCATAAATAAACTATTTAATACGCATAACAAACTTGTTACCAGACTACCCAAGTAGAAGTATTTATGCAAATGAAGTGATTTGGATTGTCTTTATAATGTTTCAAAGCATGATGATGAGATGAAGTATTACTGCAAAACTAAAAAAAATATATAAAAAATTTCATGTTTAATATTATTATCTTGTATGTCTAATATTTTATAATCTGGTTAGTTTTCAACTGAAATGTATATTTCATTAATAAGACATTTTTAAAAAGCTATTGTGCAAGCTTTGTTAAAAATAAATAAACCAAGTAAAAAAATATATTTGTGTGACAGTAGAATGCACGAGTTGCACTTAGAATGTTTTTTGTAGCTTATCAATTTTTGAAAGAATAAAATTACCCAAATATTATTTATAAAAATTACTCAAAAATTTTTATAAAGAATAATTTTTATAGATAATAATTTATACTTTTACTTTTTAATTACAACTTGAATTAAAAAATTAATACTAAAAAATTAAAACAATTTTTGAACTATTTAGAAAAATTTCTTTTGTCATGATAAGTACCATTACTTGCTAATTTATTAGTTAACATAATATAAAACTTTATTAATGTTTTTTACAAATAAAACGTTTTGATTAATTTATTTTTTATTTATTGCATAATACTTGCAGAAGGTTCATTTCATGCCATGTAGACCATGGTCCAGGGTTCAAAAAAAAAAAATTTATTTAAAAAAAAAAAAAAAACATAATTTTTAAAAAAAAACAACAAAAAACTTGTTTTTTGTTTTGTTTTAACTTTTTTTTTTTTTTAGATGTGTTTAATCAATTTTTTCAATAAAAAAAAAGCATTAGCCATTTTACTTGAGTAACTTCTTCCATTACTATAACTGATATAATTCATCAATAAATACATCATTATTTATAATAACTATAATAACAAGATGGAGAACAGCAAATCGTTAAAGACTTGCAATTTAATTTTTAATAAATGAGTTAAATACTTTTGAAGTAAAGATTATAGCTTTTTAAAGTTTTGCACTTAAATTGCACAAAATGCAAACTTTTTTGCCAACCAAAACATATTTTAAAGACCATTATTGTTATGATAAAAGTAATAATAAAAAAACTCTCCTATTCTTAATTATCTATTTTAAAGCCTTATTTAAAATAAATTTTTATTTTTTAACTGTAAAACATGCGCGGAGTGTTGCTACATCGACTATCTTATAGCCTGACTCGCAACGGAGTGGTGCTAAATCGACTGGGGGTCTATCAAATAATTAAAAAAAAAAAAATTTTATATTGTATTTATCTAGTTTCAATTAATTTCTATTTATTTATTTTTTTAATTAGTTTTTTTGCTGAATAGTCCTTAAAATATACCGCTAAATGAACTATTCAAAGGAAATAAAATATTACATCATTAACAACCAAAAGGACGATGGTTCGCAAAAAAGTTTGCATTTTACCAGTTCACAGTTTGAGGTTTGCAGTTCGCATTTTGCCTAGTACCCTATGCAAACCATTCCAGTAAATGCGTGCGGTGTTTCGCCTTGTATGTCCATGCATGAGTATTTTATTTTAGACAACTTGGTCACAGCCATTTGCAAGTTTTATTATATTGAGCGTTGCGGAAAAAACTACTAAAAATTCTAGCATAAAACCTTTAGTGGTTTACAGGCCTTCTAAGGAGATGCTTGAATGTCCACACATACAATTTTTTTTTTTTTTGATAACTTGGCCATGATTTTTTGCATATATCAAAAATGGCGCATTTAAAAACACGCTTAAAAAACCAAATCTAATTAGTCATATTATTTTATTACTCTTATTAATAATTTAATATTATAACTATTAATGAAAAAATAAAAACATAAAAATAATATATATATTTTCACAATTTATTTTTGTTCTTATTACAATATATTCTGGTGTAATGCCATTGTACATATAATATATATTGCATAAACTAGATAACCATTTAACAATACAATAGAAATTAGTTGTGGATGAAGTGTGTATGTGTGTGTGGAGGGGGGGGGGGATTATAGCCTTGTGCCACATAATATTCAGACTCCCAAAATATTCAAAAGGACATTTTTTATTTAGAAATACTATAGATATTTTTTTTTTATCATAACAAGCCCCTCAAAAAATAAGCTGATCTGGCCTATATAGCATTTGATTTTATTAGAAATTTAATGACATGTGTCAAGAACCACAAGCGATTTTTTAAAAATGCACCTGTGATTCTTTCTAGATTTTTATCTGAATTATTTTATATATTTTGTTTTCTTATTTTTAGGGTGTTTGTTTTTTTCAGCAATGATATTTGATACAATTCAAGAAATAATACAGAAAATGTGTCTGAAAACTTTTTAAATCTATTTTGAAATATATCAATATTATTGTAAATGCTACAAGTTGTTATAAATAAGTAATAAATGGTATTTATGAGTAATTTTATCATTTGCTAATGCAAAGTTGCAGTATTTCAATACAACTGCAGTTATATGAAACTTTAAAAATCGATTACACCACTGTATATTATATTATTTTGTCATCTAACTTGTCCATCTTATAATAAGATGCGCAAGTTTTTCAAATTTGACATCAATACCATTACACATCTTCAAACCAATCATTCCATTAATTATCTTTTCCATATTGCATTGGAAATTAAACAAAATTAAGGAAACAATTTCACACTAGTTTTCAATACCTTTTTAAAACAAACAATTTGATTCTTACATTAAACTTGTTTCATAATCACAATTAAAAAAAAATTTCCACTAAAGTAGAGAACTTTTTTTAGTGTTGGAGATAGATAACTTGCAGACATATATGTTCATGTTTATATCAAATAAGAATACTTTGCAAATAATTGTGATGATCAAAGGAATCACTTGTAGCAGCAAACATCCAAGAAGCTAGTATTTTCAAAGAGTGGAATGCACTATAAATAATAGTAAAAAGAATGTATTCAAATTTATCATGTTTTTTTCATGAAATTTGGGAAAAATTATTGAACTATAATAACAAGATGGAGAACAGCAAATACTTGGGTACAGATGAAGATTGTAGTGACGATGAAAGTTGTTCTACTGACAGTGAATGTAGCAAAATACTTTAAATTTCTTCGTTATAATTATAACTATTTATTAATTTAATAACTTGTAACATTTACAATATTATATTTTCAAAACAGATTACAAAAGTTTTTGGACACATTTTCTGTTTTGTTCCTTGACTTGTATCAAATATTGTTGCTGAAAAAAACAAACACCTTAAAAATAAGAAAACAAAATACATAAAATAATTTGGATAAAAATCTAGAAAGAATCACAGGCACATTTTTAAAAAATTGCTACTGGTTCTTGACACGTGTCATTGAATTTCTAATAAATCAAATGCTATATACACCAGATCAGCTTATATTTTGCTATCATAAAAAAAAAACACCTACAGTATTTCTAAATAAAAAATAATGTCCTTTTGAATATTTTATTGGCTGAATATTACGCGACCCAGGGCTATAACCCTCTCCCACTCAATCCACAACTGATTTCTATTGTTTTATTAAATGGTTATCCAGTTTATGAATTACTATATTTTATGTAAACCGGCATTGCACTAGAATATATTGTAATAAGAACAAATAAAAATAAAAAAAATAATTTAAAAAAATATATTTTATTTTTATGTTTTTATTTTCTCATTAATAATCATAATAATAAATTAATAATAAGATTAATAAAATAATATGACAAATTAGTTTGGTTTTTTAAGCGGGTTTTTAAAATGAACCATTTTTAATATATACAAAAAAATGGTGGTCAAATTATCAACAAAAAAAAAAGATATGCGTGGTCATTCAAAGTGTGTGACCGCACGCATCTCCTATATATATATATATATCTATATAGGAGATGCGTGAGATGAAATATAGGAGATACGTTTTGAGAAAACGATGAGGGAAAACAAAGAATAATGAATGAAAAGGTTGCTGACCCATACCAAACCCTCAGTCGATGTAGCAGCACTCCACTGCAAGTCAGGCTTTTGTCAGTCGATGTATGTACTGTAGCCCCCACAGCAGACTATTTCAGTACGATGTCATCGTACTCACCTAACTCAGCAGTATAAGATATATATATATATATATATATATATATATATATATATATATATATATATATATATATATATATATATATATATATATATATATACAGCCGTCGGAATTAGGAAAAATAAGGTCAACAATAATTTGTTGACCTTAATCTGTGTAAGGTCAGCATCAGGTCAGCAGAGAAAATGTAAAACAAAAGTTTGACCAAAGGTCGGCATTCGACAATGCCGACACTGAGGGAACTCTGAGGTTTTTTTTTTTGTTTCTTTAGGGTGGTTGTTATTTTAAGCAATGAATTTGTATAAAGCAAAACAAAAAAGAACAGTTTTAAGTTGATATTAAAAAGATCGATTTTTCTATATTTTATGTTTTTTTAAAGAGGAAAGTAAAAATATAAATTGCTATCTGTTCGGAATATATATTTGTACAATTTTAATGTAATAAGTATACATTGTCCTTAAATGAATATGTCTGTGTGATGCATGCATATATTTTTATGTATAACTTTTTTATTATATAATTATATAAATTTGATCATTAGTATACATATGTTTATCTTATTTGGATAAGGCATTTACTTCAAACACAGAATATTATTAAGTCTTGGCAAGAGGTCATAGACCATTGTCTATAACCTCTTGCCAATACTTAAATAAAGAACAAATGCTAATCGTGTAGAAACTTTTTACGCATTGAATCAAAGAAGTAGTCAAATCTTTTATTGTGCAAATTGTAGTCAAATTTTATTGTGCAAGCTGTTGTTTAGTGATCATACAAATAATAATCGGTTGGTGCACAGTCAGGTAGGTAGAGCAAATGAAGAACACTTCACAGCTTAGTTCTATTTATTTTTAACATGTCAAATTATCGGAAACATGAAAATTTTAAAACATAATATTTTAGAATTTTTTAGAATATTTAGAAAATTTTTTTATCTTTTTAAATCATCATTGAATGATATTGTAATTTTTGATATTGTGACACTATTTTGTGACTTATTTTTATTCTAATAATTTTTTTTCTGATTTAAAGGGATCCCAAACTCCCAACACATGTTGTGTTCATATTAAAAATAATGTTAAAAAAAAAGGTTTGAACCAAATTTTTTTGATTAAAAATAAATAATGAATGCATACCGTGAAAAATAAATGTTGTTGTTTTTGCCGAAGCTCGTCTTCTCCATTTTTTTCAACTACTCGGAGTCTTCAAATTATGCGTCGCAATCTACAGACTTTGGCAATTTCTTTGAAGCGCGTTTAATTCATAAAAGTTTTAGTATTTAACGTCACGATAGACTTTTAACAAAAGAAAAGTGTAATTAAACTAAGCTGCGTTTTTCTACTGTAGTATTTTTTTAACATACAGCAAAACAAATTTATTTGTATTATTTTTCTAAACATCGCAAAAAAAATTTTGTAAAAAGTAAAAACAATAAATTATTTTTATTTTATAGGAGCAACTTATTTTTTACAGATATCTTAATAATTTTTAGATTTATATATCTTACTTATATTTCTTTAATTATTTAAATTAAAACAAATATTAAAACTTTACTTACCAATCTCATGATTTTCATACGAGTATTTTACATTATATAAAACGTTTTATATACGGTCTCTTGTTTTAGCGCAAGAGAGCGCAGAATTATATATTCTGATTCTTAATTATTTTTATTTAAACAATGGCAACTATTTTCTAACTTCTCTGGTTATTTTTACGCTATGACAATTTTTTGTTTTCCCAATTACTTTCATAAACTAACAGTATTAATTAGAGATATTTAATGAATTGTTCACTTTTTTTATTATAAAATTTTTTTGATCACGCTGATTTAATTTAAATTGCTAAATTTGCTGAATTGGATACGGATAAAAAGGAAATACCATTTTATTTTACATTTGATTTTTGATAATGAAATTTTTATAATGTCAGCAACTGCATACCAATTAGAACCTGTTAAGATTATGAAAAAAAATACAAGAATACACTAAACAATAGTTTAGTGTATTTTTGTACCTTTTTTTTAACACTTGACAGTAGTATCAGATATGAAAATTCGTGAAAGGATATGTGAGATCCTGATTTTGCATTAAAAGTACAATTAATTGCAACCCAAGTCGGCATTATAAATTTTGATTATAAGTTTACTGTTCAATATTTTAAAACCATCAAATAAAAAACATGAAGTTTGTATAATTTTGTCCCTTTTATACAACTAATATTTAACCAAAATAGGGACAAATTATTATTAAATAACGTAATAATTAACACATTAATTAAAGACAATAATTCAAGATAGATGGTAATTTAAATTGTTAAAATGTTATAACGCGCATTAAAAAACATATTATATTTGGTATTTCCAAATTTGTGTCGTAATTGGCATTTGTCTCTTAACATGAAAAATTAAAAAATTTTAAAAACACAATTAACAAATACAAATTTTCAAGCAATTTTCTCTTCCAATTCTCATTTATTCAAAGAAAATTAAACTATTAAACTTTTATTTCTCTCATCTAAAAAAAGAACGAGTGACGCAAAAAAAATATATATTCTTTACAACTCTTATTCATTCAAAGTTTAATTGCGCAAAACTTTTCTTTCTCTATTGTTCTACTCTTTTATAAAAAGAGCGCCCGATGAAATAAAAACTTTTATTTTTTAATATATAATTATAGTTTGAGATAAAATTAAATTAGAAATAAATCAACAATGAGCAAAGCAACGAACAGATTAATCTGGAACTATTTTGATATTTATGAAAATAATCAACATAAACAACATTACCAACAACAGCTATCAAATAAACAACACAATCTCGCATAATTTTAGAGGCATTTTATTTTTATTGCTTAGTCGTTCTAAATAATAAGTAAATTTAGCTCAAGTTAATAATTCAATATTTACAGTTGCAATATAATAAAGAAATGGTGTTTAATACAGAACTTTTTATTTAGTTATTTATTTTTTTACCTACATTTGTTATAAAAAACTTTAGAACCCCCGTCATTAAATAATTTGTTTTAAATATATTTCGACGTGATTATTCAAACTAATTTTTTTCGTTTGACTTTCCAAACTTCATGCAAAGCAAATTGAAACGAAATATCGTCTAACCAAATAAAAAAGCTGTTACTAATTTTTTATACAGGTAATTAACGTAAAACAATTTTTGAGATAATAAATATTCATAATTTATAAACATCAAATATATGGCGCAATAACAATTTATAGCAACGAACCAGCATAAAATATTTAAGGTTTTTAATATCTTTTTAAATATTAAAAGTAAAAAAAAAAAAAAAACTAAACAAATAATCAAAAAAACTTCGACTAAAAATAAATAAAAATATTTCCAGAGTTTCTTTTGTTAAAAGTCTACCGTGACGTCAAATACTAAAACTTTTATGAATTAAACGCGCTTCAAAGGAATTGCAAAAGTCTGTAGATTGCGACGCATAATTTGAAGACTCCGAGGAGTTGAAAAAAATGGAGAAGACAAGCTTCGGCAAAAACAACAACATTTGTTTTATTCACGGTATGCATTCATTATTTATTTTTAATCAAAAAAATTTGGTTCAAACCTTTTTTTTTAACATTATCTTTAATATGAACACAACATGTGTTGGGAGTTTGGGATCCCTTTAATGTATCTTTTCTTAAATGTTAAATAAAACAACAAGCTGCTGTAAGATCTCTGCAATGGTTAATTAGGATTGCTGCAATGATTAACTGGAAGTATCCTTATATATTAATAGAATGTATTTTGAATTGCAAGTTTCCTTAATAGAATGTATTTTGGATTTATTTATAAATTTTTTATAAATTTTTTCTATAGTTGCAAATGAAGCAACAACAAACTCCTCTAAAACAATTTATAAATATTGTAATAGTCAATTGCATGTTATTTTTTTTTATTATTGTGTTTTTTGTCAAGATTGTGTATGAGCAAAAGTTGTTTTTCAGTATTTTGATTTAACATTTCTTTAGCCATCTATAAAAGTTGCTTACTTCTGGTTAAATATAATAGCAAATTCAATATAACAGAGTTATATATTTATATATACAGACTATATATATAAAATACATATACAGACTTTTTAAAAAATTATTGAAGATAACTATTTTACTTTATTTTTGGTACAGAACATTAATTGTTGTAAAAAACACTAAATGACACTATTGTTATAAAAAACAATAAATAATTGTATGCGCACAAACATATTTATGCATAAATTACTTATGTTGATTTATTGTGATAGTACAGAACTGATTGAAAAAAATTTTTTTTTTACCTGAGAGCCACAAAATAAACATATGTTTGTACTCATTGCTACTTCAGAATCCTAAAAAACAACAAACCCCTCATGATAGAATAGAACTATGTAAATTAATATAAAAAATAAGAAATCTCAACAGTAAAAAATTTGAAAAAATAATTAGACAGAATAAAAATAAAACAATACCTCATTATTGCTAGTGTGACAATCCTAAAAGAAATGTTAAAAAAACAACATTAAACAATTATAAATATTTTACAACTATTTAGTATTATTTATTAGCATTATTGCTTATATCTGTTATACAAATCTAACCCATCAAGTAATGTTATTATAATGTATGTACTTTTTTTTCATAATAATGTCATTATAATGTATCTACTTATTTTTACCATGTCATTAGTGAGATATGTTTTTTTTTTTTAATTTCATCATTTGATAAGCAGTACCGATAGAGAGTACCTAAGTTTTTACATAAAAAATATTAGGTACTTTGGTTCGTTACTTTTTTTATAGGGCTTAGAAAATGTGTCTGTGCAGATCTGCGAAGATAAAATATGCCCATGTCTGCGCAGACACTTTAACGGAAACGAAAAATTCAAATTATCTGAATCAAATGTCTGAAATTATTTTTGCATAATTATCTACTTATTACGAGTTTTCATTATTTATCTGTTTCTTTTTGGTTCGAGCTACATATAATCAATCAATATAAACTTTTGTAAGGGTTTCTTACTACAATTTAAAGTGATTTAGAATCAAGAAATAGTGTATTTTTGTCATTCAAAATGCCTAAAATGGAAAATATCAAAATTTCGAATTATTTGACAAATCTTGATCGAGAGAAGCGTTCTGGCACTTGTTTAGCGTATAACAAAACTGTTCAATGGTTGAAGGAACACCTTGTAGCGCATAAAAGATCACTATGTCCAAACGCCAGTGTCAAGGAAGAAAGATTGTTTTCTAAGTGTAATTATGAACCATCACATTTAATCAATGATTCTCAGCAACTTCCGTCTACGTCTGATTCATCGACGCAAGGTGTACATCCACCAATTAAAGAAGAGCTCAAAAAAGATATTGACACGAAGCTTGCTAATTTTTTTTACCGTATGGGTATATCATTTCATTTAGTCAAATCGGAGGACTTTTCGTCAATCCATCGTACGCATCTGTCATCCCAAATGCTAAACACTTATCAGGATCTCTGCTCAACAAACAATACACAAAATGTTCTACTTCTGTAAATGAAATTTTGAATTCTGAAACAAACTTAACACTGATGTCTGACGGCTGGACGAACATAAGAGGCGATCACATAGTGAATCTTTGTATTAAAGCGCCCAATCAGAAGCTTTTTTTTTACACCTCGATAAAATCATCTGGAATCATTCAAAATTCATCTGCATTCGCCGCAGCAATCTTACAAGTTATTGAGAAGATTGGCTCACAAAAATTTACCAGTTTCATAAGCGACAACACTCCTGTTATGAAATCAGAGTGGAGGATCATTGAGGAGAAATCAACATCTTGGCTGGCGGATGCGGAGCTCATGGAGTCAAATTGCTTGTGAAGGACATAGTTTCTACAACTGAGGCCACAAAAACAGTCAAAGATGCAGAGAAAATCATCAAATATGTGAAAAATCATCACATCGTGAAAGCAAAGTTTGATGAAAGACGAATTGCAGCAAATATTTCTCTTTCATTGTCCATGCCTGTATCTACATGATGGTTTAGTTTATAAATTAATGAGCAGTCTCCAGCTATTAAAATACGTTCTTATTAAGTTGGTAGACGAAGGAAGTACATTACTGAAGGAAATTCAACCAAAGAATACATCTGCTGCTGTTATGGCGTTGATAAAATCTAACCCATTTTGGGACCGTCTCTCTAAGCTTGTCAAAAGCATTGAATTTCCTTCCAACATGATCAGAAAGCTAGAAAGTGATGAAGCTCCATTTTCTCTCGTGTATGATTACTTTGGTCAAATGTACAATTCTTATATGGACAATAAAGACATACAACAAAAAGTGCAATATTGCCTCGATTTTCTCTTTACACCAGGTATTGAAATTGCTTTCAAATTGATTGCTTTTATAGGAGAAATGGCTGCGCTGCCTGAGAGAAGAAAGGAAACAATATTCAAGATGAACGCGCGAAATTATTGGAACATTATCGGTCGGTAAAGTTAAAACATTACTAAAAACATTTTTTAAGTTTTACACAGTAATACAAATTATAAGATTTACACAGTAATACAAATTATAAGAGAAAATTTTAGAATCTAAAAAAATAATAACAGAGATAAAAGTGTAGAAATCATATTCTGCCTTAAAAATCTATTCAAGCTTGTTAGTTAAAAATGTTGGTTTACTAATTCCCTGTGTCAACACATTAAAAGAATTGTTTACTAAGAAGTCACAAGGGCATTTAACACTGTTTTTAGATTTGAGCAAACAAATACTTTCATAAGAGCAGCAATGGTTCATTGAGAGATATTATTTTTAAGTCCGCCAGGAAAGGAATTACTCAGTATTTTATTATTAATCTAAAATAACCTTCAAAGTTAGCATTTAAAAACTTAATTGCTTTAAATTTGCTTTTAATTAGCTCATTTTCATAGTTTTTTTTTTTAATTTAACTTTAAAATGTCTATATTTGATTGGTTGTTTGTGCATTCATACTTTATCATCTTTATATTTTACATGGTTATTTGGGGCATTGAGGCAATCTAGAATGTTTTTAGTTCTAAGACATACAAAAAAAAAGGCCTCTTCTAAATAATAATTCTTCTTTCAATATAACTTATTTTATTAAAATAAACCCTAAAACAAAACCCAAAAATAAAATAGCAGAGGTAACAAGGATCAATATATATATATATATATATATATATATATATATATATATATATATATATATATATATATATATATATATATATATATATACATATATATATATATATATATATATATATATATATATATATATATATATATATATATATATATATATATATATATATATGTATGTATATATATATATATATATATATATATACATATACATATATATATATACATATATATATGTATATATATATATAGAGATATATATATATACATATATTTATATATATATATATACATATATATATACATATATTTATATATATATATACATATATATGTACATATATATATACATATATATATATATGTATATATATATATATATATATATATATATATATACATATATATATGTATATACATATATACATATATATATATACATATATATATATATACATATATATATATACATATATATATATATACATATATATATATATATATATACATATATATATATATATATGTATATATATATACATATATATATATATATATATATATATATATATATATATATATATATATATATATATATATATATATATATATATTAATATATTTATAAACTAGATATACTATATATATATATATATATATATATATATATATATATATATATATATATATATATATATATATATATATATATATATATATATATATATATATATATATATAGTATAAATATATATATATATATATATATATATATATATATATATATATATATATATATATATATATATATATATATATATATATATATATATATATAAAGTTTTTTTGAAAGATGTTTTATTTCAGTAAGGAAAATTTCTTTATTCATCTTTGAATAGCAATATCTAATTCTTGCTTCAAGCTCTTCCAAATTCTCAGCTCTCCAACAATTCTTGTAGGCTAGCTGTTTTAAATCACCTTAAAAGTTTTAATTGGTCTTGCTTTTGGAACGTTAGCTGGGTTTAAATCTTTGGGTACAACTTTGATTTTTTTCAATTTTAAAAAGTTGATGACCGACTTTGCGTAATGTGATCGAGCTAGATCAGGCCAGAAGATAAACTCATTGTCTTTTTTATAATATTCTGATACTAGAGGAAGTAAAGTTTTTTCCAGTATCTCTTTAAAAGTGTACTGGTTGATTGCCTGCTTACTGTGATGAATATAAAGAGGGCTTATTCCACAGGCGCTGATGCAACAAGCAACTAAGAGCTTGTCCTCATACTTTTCACGCAAATTGTATCTTACTTTATCAGAACATTGAGAAGGATCAGCAGCATAAAACCTATCATTACCAGCTAATGTGCTATTGTTTAAGGTAAAATAGCTTTCATCATCCATAACAAAATCCAAGTTTTTATAATTTTCGTACAATTTATGACATTTAGGACGCATTGCTTTCTTCTGCTGATGGCTACGATCTGGACGTTTTGTTTTTTTGAAAGTTCAAATGTTAGTCATTGTTTTTAATACTTGGGAAATTCAAGTTTGACTACAGTTAAAAACTTGAGCTACTTTCTTTTGGGAGCACCCTGACTTATTTTCAAAAAAATGCAGCAATCTTTGGAATATTTTCTTTAGTAGCTACCTTAGCGATTTGACCACTTCCGACTTTTCTTTTTAGAGATCTATTCTCTAATTATACGACTATATTGTAAGCAGTTGATCTGGGTAAACCCCATTCGATAAATTGCTTAGCAACAAACGCTTTACCTTTTTTTTCAATTTTTTTGGAAAAAAAATTTCTATTATTTTTTCGAGGTCCTTTACTTTGACTATTTTATTTTCAATATTTAAATAATATTTTTAACTTAATTAAATTAAATTTAAATAGATTATAAAATCCTCTTTCAAATAAGTATAATGGCTTTTTACATGCTTGAAATAAATGATATAATAAATGCCATTAAAATTTGTGCGAAATTTTATTTATATGGTGTTATATACATGTATACATTTATATACATATATATATATATATATATATATATATATATATATATATATATATATATATATATATATATATATATATATATATATATATATATATATACATATATTCATAATAAATCTAAAGTGAAAATAAGTTTACAAACAAAAATCTTACTTTGCAGTATCCTAATTTCAAGTGTCGAAAACTATTGCACACAGCTTCATATTTTACAGATTTGTTTGCATGAGAGCATTCTAAAAAATAAAATACTCATACAGAGTGTTTTTTTTTAATCATTTTGCTGCAATAATGTACAACTGGGTGGTGCAATATAAAGAATGAATTGTTTTTAATTTTTATGCACTCAGCGCCAATTTTAAATTGATTATGTAAACCATGTATATCTATGCAAAGTATTATAAATTTTTGTGAACTTCTTGACACATTTCTCGGAGTCGACAAAGTTGAACAGAAGTTCAGTAAACTAATTTAAACACAAAGAAAGTAAACATCAAGTTTATTGAATGGTCAACATTAAATTATTTAGAAAAATTGAAGACAGTTCTGTAGAGCGCTTTTGTAAGACTATGACAGGAATGTTTTCTGGATCACAAGCCATCAAAGATTTTAATTGAAATATGAATTTAGCAATGGAGGCTGGATTGACCTGGTTAAAACTGGTGAGCCTGTTTAAATACATAGCTACATTATATATGCTTATACAGCTTGGGCAAGTACAAATATAACCAAATTGAAAACTTTATACGTCAGAAACATACTAAAAAAACTATACAATGTTAACTGCTTTTTAATACCTTTTTAAAAATATTTGGCAAAAAAAAAAAATTTTAATTATGGCATAATATTTTTTAAAGAATTCAAAGCATTTTACAAAAATTTAGCAATATTAAATGATATTAAAGAAAAACATGAAGATGGCTATTAGTTAACTTATTAGTTACATAAACATACTGAGAAAGTATTATTGCTACACGACTGATAGTTTTGCAATAATTCAGGGCTTTCAAAATGTTTGCCATGTTGCCCCGCTTTCCCCAAAAAATTTTAAAAAATAAAAATAACTTTTAAATAAAATTGTTTTACTTTTACAAAAACTCTTTTCCAAACCAGTATTTTCAAAATTGCATAATATTGTTGTTTTGTGTGTGCGAAAGTTAAAAATATTTTATTATCATGTTTTTCTTTTATAACTTACAACTTTTAAAAATAGTTACAACTTTTGCATTTTGTGAAATATAAAAGGGCAGGGTGCAAGAAGAAGACAAATAGTCAAATCACCAAGCCCCTGAAAATTCGTAAATAATATAGTCATTAAAAACATTAAACTAATTAAATCAGTTGCACGCTGGTCTTCTTCATAAACTTGCTTCATATGGTGCATTTGGAAAAGTTTTTGAGATTATCAAATCATTTCTTTCTTACTTTTTTATTAAAATAATTAAGTATCAAGTATTGCTAATATTGATGACAAGAGAGCTGAATATTGATGACAAGAGAGCTGAATATTGATGACAAGAAAGCTGAATATAAAGCAATGATAGGTGTCTTTGCACACTGCTTCTTGCTTATAAGAATGAAAAATTACTAATAAAAATAAAGACAATGAAGATGAGGATAATGGTGACACTAAAGACAACATGGAACAAAACTCTTTATAACAAATAAACAAACTGTAAGTTAAATGGAGATGATTGATAAAATGATATCAATTTATGATATAGATTGGTGAACCCTGCATAATATGAGTTAATCAAAAATATTTTATTACATTTAAAATTTATAAAGCATTTTAATTATAGTAAAGAAATATAATAAAGAAAAGTACTGAACTGTAAAGCATTTTTCATATTTAAAATTTGAAAATTTGAAAATTATTGAAATAGTACATTTTAGGGGAGAATTTAAAGATTATTTGCTATATTTTATAAGATATGAAGCAGAAACTAGTAAATTTATATAGTTTATTTATTGCAAAAATGTTATTTTTAGTATTAAACATTAATAAATTTAATTGATTGCACAATTTTAAAGTTCTGACTCTTTTTTACCTTTAGCAGGTTACGGCCAGGAGCAGAAATTTAGGAAGAAATTAGCAGACTACGGTCAGAAGCAGAAATTTAGGAAGAAATTAGCAGATTATGGCCAGGAGCAGAAGGTTAGGAAGAAATTTAAAAAATTTGCTATTACTCTTTAAGAAAAAACTGTTCTCAATTCTATAACTTTCATAAATTTTGATGAAAAATCTCAAAGTAAGATAGCGACTGATTATTTATATAAACTTTGAATAAATGAAATTTCAATTGCAGTTCTTTTGTTTTGTAACTAAAAAAATTTCTCCACCACCACCATCATACTACTGATATTGCTTTTAAATAACCACTGGGTAATAAACATGTATATATTAATATTCAAATATAAAACAAATGTTTATATTTTAAAGTTAATTAAACAATTGACAATATTTAAACTATTGGCTGTTTAAATAACGATAATTTCATTTCAAAGAAAACAAACATATCATATCTATTAAGGCAAATTACTTGGAAATCATCTATTATTACAATTTAACACTACATGTTATATGATATAAATGTTATATGTATATGCATCCATACATACATATGTACAAGCTTATGGAGAAGACAAGCACATTAAACTTTGTCAGAAGCTATATATATGTCAAGAGCAGAAAAGAAAGTTAACTATCCAAGTAAGAGATTGAGCAATGCAGAAGTTATAGCTTTTAGTGTCAGGGTAAGTGGTGTTAGAGCCATGCCATTCAGTGAACATTAAACTCGCCAATAACGAGAATATTGGCAGAGTAGAAAGAGGTTAATTTGATCAGAAAGAGGTTAATTTGATCAGAAAGAGGTTAATTTGATCAGAAAGAGGTTAATTTGATCAGAAATTACATCTAAAAGAGCTTGAAAAGAAGGAGAATAATAAATTATAAAGAGAAAGGTGACAGAGTGAAGAGGTGCTAAGCAGAAGCACATAAAAAAATAGTCAAAGGATTCAAACCTGATTTCTTGATAACTAAGTGAATTGATCTGGAAAAAATTGGGATACACCCCCAAGCAATGAGCTATGCAGTTGTCTCAGTTGCTTTAATTAACTTAAAGTCAAAACGTTAGATTTCTTACATAGATGAGTATTAAACTTTTCCCGGAAATTTTTTTCTTCGAAAATCCCGGAAAATTATTTTAATAAAAATTCCGGAAAATCCCGGAAAATTATACTGTCAACTAATTGACGAAGGTATGTGGTTATACTCTGGAACGCTGATAAAGGGATAAATAAAGTAACTAAAAACTACTGAATAATTATGTTTGTCTAAAACTCTCTAAAATCAAATACAATATCTCAAAATAATTTATTTACTTTTTAAATATAAAATGTCAGAAAATGGTTCAGAAATTAATACTTTTTATACTTATAACTTTCTGCTGCAAAACATTTATCAGCTTTTCTTTTTCGGTACTTTTTTGCATGATCATTAATAGATTCTTTAACTATTTTGCACAGTTCATGCAATGCAAACAGTGTTGTTTTTTTTCGCGTTGAATTTATATTATAAAAACGTTCTTCAACTTTTCTGTTTTTCTGTTGGAACTCCATTTTTTTTAAATAGCGTTTGCTTGCAGTTTGCAAATGACCACAGATGCTATTGTTAACTGGATCATGTAATATATCTCGTCTTTTAAAGTACCCAAGTGCTGTAGTCTTGTTTGCTAATAGTTGATACTTAACTGAAGCTATAGCTGAGTACGTTGAAGTATCAATACGATTTGTTTTTTTGTTAACTATGGTGTTCATCATGCTGAATGATTGCTCAACGTGAGGACTACTGAATATACTTAGACATACCTTGATAATTTTACTTAGCTCTAAACATTTTTTACACTTAAAAATATCTACCCACCAATAGTCAAGACGTACGGGCTTTCTATCAGCAAATACGGGTGGAAGCGCTGTATCTATCTGAAGTTGCATAACTTCTCGATAAAATACTACTTTATTTATATCTACAGTGGGAAAGAAATTTGGGAGTTTTTTCAACATTTTCTCTGTAATTTCGTGACCTTGAGACAGTGGGCCGATTGCGGAGAGGCATTTTAATAAAAGGTTGTTAAAAGGAAATTTATTAAGTAAGTAAACTGATGATTCACGGTAGGCTTTTAGCAAGGTCTTAAAAAACGATGATTTGAAGTCAGGATTTCGAATAACTATTCTTGATAATTATTTTTCAGCATTACTTCCAGGGTGTATGTAATTCGAATGGCGATACATTTTTTTATCTTTTAGGTTTAAAAATTTTAACTTTGTCCCTGTTATATTTTTTATCATCTTTGGCTTTATAAAACAAGTTAAAATTGTTTTCACAAGTTCGATTTGCTCTTCATAAATTCGATGGACTAACGGTTCTTTTTGTTCAAAAGTTAAAATAAATGATTTAAAAATAGGAAGAATTTCAACATATAAATTAATATAAAGTAAGGTTTCATTACGTCGGAAAAATAAACTTTTAACAATCCTAGCCTTTCTTTCTGCACCTTGTTTTGTTAGCTTTTTCTGCTGCATTTTGCGTTTCATTTTTTCTATTAGTTTTTTACTTTTATTTGATAGCCTATTTAATATTTTGTCACTTTCATCTTTATACAGAGAGATGTTCTGTTTTGATAACCAAGTAGAATAAATTAAGGTGAAAACAGGCATCATCTCAAGCATAGGTAGAGCGCAGTCTAAAACAGACAACCACCGATGAGAAACCCATTGCTTTGGAGTGTTGTATGTGACACCTGTGATTTGACAAAGTTTTTTTAGAAATGTACGAAGATCTGGGCTAAACTTAAAATCAATGTAGATATCATCCAGCAACTGTTCAACTACTTTGCCGAAAAAAGAAGTAAACTTTTTGACAACATTGTGCACATGATGACAAATACCATCATCAATATCAAGTAAGTGAGGAACCGCTTTTCTTAATCTTGTTTTAAACCCACTTATTTTTCCCCTCATATAATTGGTAGAATCTGATAAATTAGAAGCTAGATTACTTAATGGAATTGTGTCTCTGTTAAATAAATGAATAACAGTATTAAAAACATTTTCAGCGTTTACCGTAACAAGCGATAATGATGCATAATGTTTTATTACAACTTTACTAACCTTGTCACAAAAATATGCTATGGGTATACTAAGAACTTTCTAATTTTTTGCTGAGAAGCACTTGTCTATGTTAAAAGAAAACATTTTTGATTTCATATCATAAACAAGATCAGCATGAAAAGCTTCGCCTAACCCTACTTGCAGCTTTTACAATGCCGTTGTTCTGAACATTTTTTAAAACACGATGATCTTTAGAAATTTCCTTTGCGTACTTAATCATATGGGATGTTAAAGATATTGGAAGATTGTGTTCACAAATAAATGCGAGTGTCATAGCTTCTGCATTTGATATCTGGTCTCTAAAACTTACAATAGGTTTAATGGTAGAATTCACTCTATTTGTGCAAGTAATGCCAGCATGCACGTTATCCAGAGTGCCGTATGGCAATATACATAGATCTGGTTTTTTTAATTTAGTAAAAAATGACGACGGTATAGCTTGGTTTGACTTCATTGTTGCGCAGTTTTGACGATGTATTTTAGACTTTGAGTGGCTAAGTGAAGATTTTTTACCTTCTTTTCCATAATAAAAGTTTTTACTACATATTGAACATCGTACCTAAAACATAAAATCAAATAATATATAATTACGATGAAATTACATATTTAAATTTTCAGTTAAGGAATAAACTTACCGCTCCAGCTTTATCTATCTTTCTTATATAAGCCGAATAATACTCTTCTTTATTACCAATTCCAGCGAAACTTGATTTTAATATTTTTGTCTATTTCAGAAATGTCCGATAAACTCTTAACTTCCATTTTACAACTTTTTTCTCTTTTATAATGGAATTTAGATTCTTTTATAAACTTTTTTATAATTATATAAATTTTATAATTGTATAAAATTATATAAATTTTAGAAACTTTTATAACGGAATTTAGATTATTTAACTTTTTACAAAATGGAATTGCTAATATTCGAAAAAGTTAATTTGAATGAATTAAAAAGGAAAAAAAAAGAAAAAAAATTGTTACGAAAATTGATCTCGTGAAAATTTCAATTATAGAAAACATATTTGTTTAAATGCAAACGTTGGGTGCGTCAATATATGCAAGCAACTGTAGCGCACTTGCCTCAGAAACAAAGGATTTGTGGTTCAAACCCCACCTCTGGGCAAGTTTTGAAACATTGGTTAGGAAGGAGGCATGTACTTCCTAATAAATGCTCATTGGCGGTGCTATGTGATTAGACTGTAAGGACTACTTGGGGCACCTAAATAAAATTTAAAATTATATATATATATATATATATATATATATATATATATATATATATATATATATATATATATTATATATATATATATATATATATATATATATATATATATATATATATATATATATATATATATATATATATATATATATATATATATATATATATATATATATATATATATATATATATATATATATATATATATATATATATATATATATATATATATATATATATATATATATATATATAGTCCTAATCAATAAATTTTTTTTAATTCCGTTAGGAAAGTGCTAATATACAAAAGTGCTAAAGGTACTCATAACTGTATATAAATGCTTTGCCATTATCAACCATAATCAAGCCTGCAGAAAAATTATTAGATTTAATAAAATAATTTTAAAGAATTTTTTAGTAAATTTTATAAAAAATTTATAAAAAGATGATTTTTTTTAAGTTTGAAATTGCTTTTAAAAAAAAGTTTATTCTTTAACATTAATTTTTTTACCATAGAATGTATGTCGATTAAAAATGATTAACTAGTTTATAAGTAGAATGCAAAAATTTTGTTAAAGCCAAAATGTTTCTAAAAAATGTTGATAGTTTATATTTATTTTTTGACTGTTAAGAAATTCAACCATCAGACAAATGTTTTAAAGAAAGAAAAAAAAAGTTTAAATAAGTACAAGTTTTTTAAAATAAGGATATATATTTTTTTCAACAATTTTAAATTTTATTTATAATTTTTATTTATAACAATATTGTTTATAATAATTTGATTTACAACGATTTTTATTATGGCTTCAAATTAAATTTAACTACAATGCTATACTTAAAAATACACAACTGACCTAATTAAACTTTAATTATGTAAATTGTTTATTGAGTAAAGTTACATTTACTTGAGTTAGACATTTTCCGTTATGTAACAAAATCTTATAACAAGGCCTGAGAAGGAGTTCAAGGTTGGTCAGCAGAATCATTCTTCTTACCCCTAAAAATTAAGGCCTTAGAGGCCTTTTACAAGACAGTAGCTGGATGCAGTTAACATCTGCCCAAGATGAGTATTTTTATCAAGACAATATCTCTAGCCTTTAATCAACTAAGAGCCTAAGAAAAAAAACATGACTAAAAAACAGCCTCATGTTAAAGTTAATTAAAGCATAATTTAGTCGTTAATAAAGTTAACAAAACTATTTACTGCTTTTCCAAGGAATATAAAATAAATTTAATGATACTCAAAAGATAAATAAGAAAAATCACAATCTGCAAACCAAACATTGCTTAAACTTAAATGTTTACAACTGAAACATTCTTATTATCTCTCTGTTGTCAGCTGCAAATCTTTAAGACATTCCTGAGTCATGAAATAGCACTCAAAATGCTGGCTCTATTTGATTTATGTTATGCAAAAAAGAGTAGTTTTCAAGGAATTTTGAAACTTGGAATAAGCAACTGCCTTCAATTGTTATACAACTGGTAAACCTTTGCATCTTTTATTTTTTTATTTATTTATTTCACTTTATAAAATAAAATTAATACAAAGCCAGGATCAGTCACAAACAGTTATATAACTGACAAAAATGTGACAACCTATATAACTGACAAAAACGTGACAACCTAGTCTATCTACTTACATCCGTCAATCTACAAGAGCTTTGCCTTCAATTTTCTTGAAAACTTAAACTTGTAAAAAATTTGAAAGCTTTAACTTTAAATCTAAAGTTAAACTCTGAACTAAAAACTGAAAACTATGTAGTTAAACAGAAACTACTAAATAAAAATGTAAACAATTAAACTTTAAAATGTAAATGAATTCCTATAAAACACAGTTAGTGTTTTAAACAATTTTTTTTAGTGACTGAGTACAAAAAGAAATTAATAAAAAAAGTCGTATTTGCATAATATTCGCATTGAGTTCAAACCACCACGTAACATATTTATTCCATTAAAATAGTTAACAAGAAAAATTGCACAACATAATATTTTCAAATATTATTGAAATTTTTTAATTTAATTGTAATTGGTTAAAAACTATGCAAGTTATTATAAAACTAGATTTACATAAGTTACAATTGCACAAGTTCAGCAGAATAACAGAACTGCAATTTCGTAACTAAATTATAAATTATAATGTAAATTGTTTATAATTATTTTTAAAAATTTTATTTCAAAACATTAAACATTCATAAACTAGCAAATAGGTAATACATATTGAGTTTAATATCCTAAATAAAATTACCAATCACTGGACTTTCAGTTGAAACCTTGGATGATTTCTTCTTTTTTTTGGATTCAGTCATTTTAAATTTATCTGTAAAGTATTAAAAATTTAGATAACACAATGATCGTGCTTAAAAGTAATTTGTAAACCTGCGAGTTTTTTGATTTTTTAAAAAAATTCAATTAAAATCATTTTCATGTTAAAAATAGCTCCAACTCAGCCTGGCAATATTAAAAATCCCTCTAGAAAATAACTGACCTGAAAAATATGTAAATCGCATGTATGTTTAAATATTTAAAGCGACATTAACATTACGGCACACAAGAGATTCTTTTTTTTTTTACAAATAAGATCTATTACATTTAATAGATACTCAAATAAAAGTTTACGAGGCCAAGGGGCTTAAGTTGATACGTAATAGAGATTATCTTTAAAATATAAGATTAATTTTTAACCCATCTATCTCAATGTTTGAAATACACGAGCTTGCATTGCATTTTTCAATAAATTTTTACATGAGTTGAGAAAAAAATTACATTATAAATTATTAACCCGTATGAATAAGTGGATTTCCTCAGGACATAAAAAAGTAACGTGGAATTTAAAATCATTGTTTATTTTATCTAACGTTGATCGTGCAGTTATTACCTAAAAATATTTAGTTAGCTACCAATACCTATTATTATACCGAGAAAATACGCAAAGACAGGAAAACTAAAAAAATAGTTTACTAACCAAATCCAAAATAGCACATACAATTCTAATTCTAACCAAATCCATTTCTAACCAAATTCAAAATAGTACAATACAATAGCTGTAAAGTTATTGTATTATACTATTTTGGATTTGGTTAGAGTACAATAACTTTTAGTATAGCTTTAGAATGTATCTTTTTTTCTATTTTTATTTTATTTTAGGTGCCCCAAGAAACCCTTACGTTATTATCACAGAGCACCGCGGAAGAGCATTTGAAAGGAATTCACGCCTCCTTCCATATGTTCTAAAACTTGCCAAGAGGTGGTTGAACCACTAGTTGAACATATCTAATTTAATTGTCCCGGCACCGTCTTTCCTTTATCCACAGATGAAATGTTTCCCTAACAAAAAATTTCGTTTGCTTTATCTATATTAATTATAAAGGTGCTCCAAGAAGTCCTAACGGTCTTATCACAAAGCACCGAGAAATAGATTTTAACTAGGAAATTCACGCGCCTTATTGAATGATGCATTTATGGCCGGCTTTGAACCATGGACCTCCATAGTTAACCAATACTCCACAGCACACACACACACACACACACACACACACACACACACACACATACACACGGATTTACAATCACAAACGTAATTATAGTACTAAACATTTTTAAATATTTTCTATTACAAATAAAACAACTAATATTCTAACATTATGCAATAATTGCATTTATATGCTGTGTATTCTTACATCATAAAATTTTTGTTTTAGTTTATTTATATAAAAATAAAAATAATGTAAAAATAAGTTTATTATAATTTGTATAAAAATATTGTAATTTATATAAAAATAATAATGTAAAAATAAGTTAATGATCTTTTTAATCAAAATAAGATCTATAAAGATAGCAAGAGAAAGATTATTTTTTCACAAAACAATGCTGTTTTTTAAAAAAAAGCGCGCATTAAGATTATGTTACTTAAAATTTATTTAACCGTCATAAACTAAACATAAAGAATAAATTCTTTTTTTAAATTCATAAGATAAAAATTATGTTAACCAATCTTGTATCTTTTAGGTAAAAAATTTGCCCACATTATATTTAGTTTAATATCTAAGTTTTTTTATCGAGTCCATTATTATAATCTTTTTAACTCTTTAAAAAAAATCAGTTTTTAATGATTATTATGAAAATTATGAATATATACAACACGAAGGCAGTACCCTGTTTTAGGATAAATGGATCACTAGTTCCAGGCTTTGTAGATATCAATAAAATGAATACATTGTTAACATAACTTGGTAAGCATGAGAAGAAATCTGGAATGTCAAGTTCAGTGCCATGGTTATTGGGTCCGAACCGTCAAATTCCACCTCCCCCCCCCCTTCCACACACACACACACACACACAAAGGAAAAAAAAAATTGTCATTAGGGCCTTAAAATCTATAATATTTTCCATTGAGTGTTACTCAAAAAAAAAAAGCTCTTAACATTTGCATTTAAATTTGTTGAGTCTCTTCATCATTTTCATCATTTAAAAAAAATATTTTCATCATTTAAAAAAAAATGAATTAAAAAAAAAAAAAAAATTCGTCTGACCTAAAATAATTTAATTATCGGAACTAGGTAATCTAGTGACTTCAAAGTTACATTGAAAAAACTTGTCTCTGACTGTTTTAACGAGCCTCCTATAGGAGTATAGAAGACTCTTTTCAACGTGCCTCTGACATGAGTTACTTGTATATAAAATGCAGTAAAACAATTATCACAAGCAAAAATAACGCAAAACCTTTTTTTTTTAATCTAAATAAAACCTCTGTAAAAAAAATACACTGAAATTATTCTCCGACACGAGATTATCCTTCAGGTTAGGTTCAGGATCATCACGACCACCACTCTGCTGCTGGTATCATGTAACCAGTACTACCTGCCCCACGCTCTGCTGTCTTGTAAGTTTTTTTAGACATAGGTTAGGAGAAGCAAACTACAACTTAAAAATCCCCTGCCTTTGGGCTCTTGATAAAAGGCTAGAGATGGTGTCTTGATAAAAATACTTAGGAAGATATAAAAGGCCTTCTAGGCGAAGACTTAAGGAATAAATAAATTGTATCTGTTGACCAGCTTTGCACACCTTCGTCATCTATTAGGCTGGGGTAAATCTATTCATGATACATTATTTTTAGTTTATGATGTCAAATGCTGGGTCTTCTTGACTCATTGCATGTTTTTTTTTTTTTGTGTCTTTGTATTTATGACTTGGCAACTCATTATTTTATCTCCTAATGAGATTATAGTTCTAAAACTTATTTACTGTTCTAATTTGCTTCCTTAATCTTGTTTTCTTGAGTCAAACAATTTTTAATCTTTTGTTAATCGTTATCTTGTTCTATAACTTCATCTTTTCTCATTACCTTCCAACTCTAATAGCGGTTGCTTGCAGCCTTGTTGAAAGTGAAAATGTTGAGAAAAAAAGCTAATTAAAAAAACGTATTAGCAGATATTCTTTGTAAAACGTTTTGTGAAACTAATAATTTTTATTAATTTTTTTTTACAATTCTTTAAAAATATCTAATCAATAACTTTTATATGCACCTAAATTAAATTAATTAATTGTCTCCTCTCTACTAAAAGTAGCAATCTCATTTGTTTAAAAATAAACTAAGTGTAAGCTATACTTTGCAGCATTTCCAGCAGTTATTTTTTCGCAAATGTACCCTATTGTATCAGAATTTAACTAAAATATTCATAAAAAAATACTGATAATAAATCATGATTAGTAAAGTCTTTTTTATTTGTTTATTGCAAAAAGTAGAACCACAGCTTAACAATAGTACTAAAAATATTTCCTATTAAAACCTAAATATTTTTGAAAGTATTTAGTGTTTTTTGATTTATTATCAATATTAATTATAGCATATTACCCTAAGAGTGTGCTAATTTTGAATAGTAAGAGTTGATCACAAAAAAAAATGCCTCCCACCAAAAAGTTAACTTTTGGAAGAAAAAATTTTTTTTTTCTCTTAGCACTCGTTAATTTTCATGATTCGTCAATTTTCAAGACTCGTCAATTTTCAAAACTCGTCAATTTTCAAAACGAAAACTTAGTTTTTAAAATTAGTTTTTTTGTTGTTGTTGTTGTAAAACTTTTTTTGCATTACCTTTAAATAAAACATTTTTAAAAAAGTACTGTCACAGATTTTTGTCATTAATTTTCCAAGTGCTATATTTAGTGCTTATTATTATATTCTTAATATATAATAATCTTTATACAAAGTGCTTATTATTATATTCTTAGTTTTGAATAATAACGGTCTCGTTAAGACTCAAGACAAAGACTCAAACTACTACAAATTTGGTTGTCTAATCTCATTATAACATAACAGTAAACGTAATTCAAATTGTTAAGCGCTTTCTTGTGATTGATCTTCAGCCATATTGAGTAATTCTTTTATTAAATAAATTTATTAGAAATTATTATATATATTATTAAGGTGGTACTAGCCCAAGAAATCTCAAAATTTTCAGATTTTTTTTTCTTTAAATTTGAAAAATAGAATTATTGTCGATTTCAAAAATGTATAGTTTTACTATGTTTATTAGTTGTTTAGTGACAGAAAATCTTAATTTGTGAATATGAAAAGAAGCGCTTAGCAACTGCATGGCAACTATAAATTCCATCAAACAATTGATTTTTATACATATCTCCTTTGCTTTATATCAACTTTGCAAACTCGTAAATTCCATCATTAATTTTAAAATAAATTGGATAGTGAGAAAGAAATAAATTTTATGATCTCGTTTTGATTATTTTGTTGAATTTATTTTTCATATTTGACTGCTATATTCTTAGATAGGGAATTAAAAAAATAATTTTAAAAAATGGCGAATATATTAGCGTTTTTTAGTGTAATTTTTTAAACTTCAACATCAAATTTTTTTGATGTTGAAGTTTAAAAAATTTTCTTTCTGTTGATTTTCAGACCTATGTTTTTATACGATTCTTAATCAGCATAAAATTCTCTGTCATAATCAACAATAAAATAAAAGGAGGGGGGGGGGAGAGAAATCAAATATGAATGAAAACTAACATTGAATGTCAGAACAACAAAAGTGCTTCTGATTCAGATATATTTAGAACAAGTACATATGTTCAACAAAGCAGTTCATTTTATTGGCAGTGCAACTAAAAACGAATATCGATCTAACGACCTTAATTATTTTATATTTATTAATTTTGGCATTACAAAAAATTTGTTTAAGGAGTTTTCTTGTTGTTCTGACTGTACCTCACCAGTTAAGCATACACAATGTGTATGTGTATTAGACATGCTGGAAATGAACATTTATTGCTGTTTAGATGTTGACATTAGCAGTACACATTTTACGTTTAAATTGAAAATCATTATTTTAAATGCAGCCATTTTGATTCTGTAAAAGTTCTGATGGTGATTCTGGTCAAATCCCTAAATCAACATGTTGTTAACCTTTTTGCAAAATTTTAGCCTCAAACTCTGACTATTTCATGAGAAATCTTTGTTTGAAAAATTGTAGTCAAATTGTATATTTTTGATTGTATATAATTGTATATGACACAGCATATTTTTCATTATACTTACTCTAAATAATTTTTTTATACACAATTTCTAACAAATCTTGCATCAAAATTAGATAT